CAGCTGGAGAGAAAACAAACGTAGGGAACTGTGGCAAAATCTGAGGAGAAGCAGATGTGTCTTCGATATTTATTTTAATAGAGCTTCTTAAACGTGCTTTAATATCGATGTGGCTGCAGTCTCAGCCAGCACTGCTCACCTCTGCCGTTGCTTCTTTTCTTTCCGTCCTATCTTGCTGCCATAGAACAGCAGCTGCGAATCTCTCAGGAAATGCCAGTTTATTCCTCCCCCTCCCCCATATAAAATGGATAGAGTTTTTTAGCAGTGGGAGTTCGGTGTGATTAGTATGCTAATGTACGAGAGAGAAAAGGAAATGGAGATGAGAGATATGGTCCTTCAGCGAAGAAAGGCAGCAACAACTGAAAGGAGGGTCGCTGCTAATCAATTAACCTACAATGGACCTAATGCCATAAGAAGCCATCGTGCATAAAGGGACAAAATTCTCTGTGACAGATGGCACTCGGGCGCGTGATATCATAGGGTTACTGCTTGAGAGCCAGCTCACCTCCCGTACCGGGTAAGCAATAAAGCAATAAAACTGCTTATTTATTTTAAAGAGAGAAGTTGAAATGCTTATTTACCAAATCAATCAAGGCTTACTAAGGCAGAACAGCCACAGTCCTCACGGCCCTAAAATGCTGGATACTTCACTGATTTCAAATAGCAATTATCTGTTGCAGTTTCTTGAACCCGCTCTGACTGCAAAGAGACGTTTAATTTGCAAATTCTGATGAAAATTGTCATTTTTTAATTGCCTATTTCACCAATTTGAATTTTAAAACAAACGATTAACTAGAAGCTCATTTTTACTTGCCTTGGGCGAGCCAGGAAAATATTTGTCAAGACCCAAGTCTGTCTGCTTAGCATTTGAGTTGAAAAATGCACAACTGCCTTCAAGTCAACATTAGCTGTGACAGAAGCAAGACTATTATTTAACAGTAGCTGAAAATGTCAAAAACAAGCAGTGCCCAGCGTTCTGAGAAGGTGGCGTTGAGAAGAAACTGCTTTTTTCAACACTTGGTTAACAGTAAAGCAAAACTGTGCAATTGTCTCTCAGCTCCGTGTGAGGCTCTGGTGGCTCCCCTGAACTGATGGGGATCATAGAACCATAGAGTCATCATGGTTGTTAAAGATCTCTAAGATCATCAAGTCCAACTGTCCACCTACCACCAGTGCTGCCCACTGATCATGTTCCTCAGTGCCACATCTCCACAGTTCTTGAATACTTCCAGGGATAGTGACTCCACCACCTCCCTGGGCACTCTGTGCCAGTGCTTGGCCACTAGGGCGATGTGCGTGCGTGCACGGTCCTGTTCCCAGCTCATATCCCTAATACTCTGCTGTGTAGCAGCCTATCACCAATTTCACTCCACCTATCCCTGAGTCTCTGTGCTGAGCGTTTTGATCTGGCACTGAAATGGAGCTTCCTTTGCTTCCAGCCAGCTTATTAAGCCACCCTCTTGCCTCTGCCCTGTGCTATCTTTACAGGAATGCTATGTACTTCTCATTCTACCACACTTCTACATCTATTACTTATGTAACACTACATTTCTATCATTTCTTCTAGTACTTATCATTGCCAAGGATACATCACTATATCGATTCATGCTCTCGAAGCATCACTCTTTAGGAGCTCCCCATTTATCTTCTTTAAGTCACCTCTCCAGCTTCAATTTTGCTTGTTACACTCATTTGAGAGAATTGGTTGGTAAGAGGGGCCTGAAACCACAGGAAGCAGAATTATTTCACTCTCTCCAGTTTAATCAGAACAGGCACAGGTCCAAAATAAATCATCAGTTGGATTTCCTACAAGGGAGACTGGACACAACATGCAGGACTACGGCAAGCCCTCTTGACAACCAGCTCACCGGTGGCCAACATTTGGCATTTGCATCATTATTAATCCCATCAGGCAGATCTGATTCTTGTTAAATCTGTCTGTCCCCCCAAAGAGCTGAGATACCACAGAAAAGGCACACACTGCAAATCAAAGGAAATGACACTTCCCATCAGCAGTGAAAGAGAAGAGGGCAGGCGGAATCTGCTGAGGGCTCGCACTGGATGCACAATGCTTTCTCGGACCTGTGGCATGCTACAGAAAGGAGCTCAAAACAATTTCACCCCTTTCAAACACAGTGGGTTGAATTCCTGACCAGCACGGCGTGCCATACACCCACCGCAAGCAGTGGAGCTGTGCCAGCTGAGAACTTGGCTTTGCATGTCAGGCCATTCAGCAGTGATTGCACTTGACGTGCAGCACAGAACAAGCATTTGTTTTTAGGAGAAAACAGTGGAGTCTTTCAGTGCTGACCCAGCCTATAAATAGTCCTGGTTCCAAGAATAGGATTAAGTGTCCTTAACTCGGGCTCCAAAGTATTAATGCAAAGGGAGAGCAAGGAGGAGGAGGAGAAGGAATAGCGTTCTTCTCTTCTTTGGCATGCCAGTGTAGGACTCACTGCTCCAGACGAGAAACAAGTCTGTAGGCAGGGCAACTTTGCGTGAGAACCTGTAGTTAGTTGATGCACGCCCTTAATGCCCTCACAGGGACCTTCACTCCTTCCTAAGCACAGTGCAGCCCCATTCCCTCAGCTCTAACAAAGTCACCACCACCCTGAGTGACTGGAGCAGACTGCTGGTTTCTCACAAAATCCAAGACTATGCTAATCCCAGTGAAACCTCACTAACGTCACTACACAGCCATTTCCTACACGTTCCCCTCTGGTACAGCCAGGTCACGCTGGGGACTAGGATGGTTCCTCAGACATTGAGCCAAAACCCAGCACAGCTGGGTTAGGATAAAGCAGACAGGCCCAAACATGGCCCACTGGCCAGCAGAAGGATGTCTTGGCAGCAGGTTAAGGTCCAAGCTAGTCGGCAATCAGCACTGCATCTGTGAAGCTCTTCTTCCTCTCTCGCTTAGAAATCCAGCATGAAAAATTGAACCAATCACTTACTTTTTCTTTCTTGTAACAGTATGGCTAGTGTTGGATCTACCCTTTGCATAACTTATAGCCACTGTAAGTTGTTGCAGCACCCTATGGCCATACCCACATACCTCACAATACAAAGTGCTGGGCAACGTGTGCAAGTATTCCTGCATTAGCCACTCGTACACACATTTTCAGTGCAAAAGCAAAGGCAGAACCGCTGCCAGTGCAGAACCTTAGCCTATGAACATGAATCTGGGGATGCTGGAGGGCAGGAGTCCTGTGCTGTTGCACATGGCGTGCTGTATGCCCAGCTCCCAGTCCACCTGCAGGAAAGCGTAGCAGCAGCCCTTTCCCATTATCTTTTTTCTTCTGTCTGCTATATACTACAGGCAAACTAAAATTGTATGACAGTGTAACAGGAATTGCTTTGGCACTTCAGAAAGAGCTAGAAAGGAAAACCTCAATAAAATGCAAAATTGCCCTTCAGCCTGGCTTTCAGCTCCAGTCAGAACAAGAAATGACCTCTACTTCTTCCATGGAGTGACTTTAAGCACTCAAAGCACAAACTCCCAGTAATATGCAGTCTCAGTTTATCCTTTAATTTGAGGCTTTGTCATTTGAGTGGGGAAGGTAATCAGGACAAGGAGCCTTGTCCTGATTAGGGACCATGTTGCTCAAAGTATGACAACAGACACTACATCTCCACACTGACTGTATGAAGCAATTAAGGTGGTGTTTACTATTCCACAACACTTAACGTGCTGGACTGACCTTTCATTTACTGCTTAGCACTGAACATTAAGCTGCAGAATTACTTATGCTTTGCATTTAGTATTGGCATCAAAGCTAACTGCATTCGATAGCTATTCCCACTGCGAGACACACGTTCCTTCTGCCAGCTGTGCAGGTAACTCTATAAGCACTGTATTTTTTACTTAACATCACTTACATACATTACATTAATTTGTCCCCAAATGCAAAAAGCATATGCAAAACACTCAGGGTGATGCTGCTGGTAAAATCACATCCCCACCTCACACACTGGGAGAGAAGAAGGCTGGGATGCCACAGCTCCCACATCAGGTCCCAGCCAGATGGCAGAAGTGAAGCATGGAAGCTGTGGAGGAAACTTTTACACTCCCAGCTACTCACATCAGCAGTGCTACAAAAGCAGGCACAAAATGCCTTTCAAAAGATCTGGATGAAATACGCTCTTGATTGGGCAACTTTCCACTTGTAGCCACAGGTAGCAGAGGCAGGACACACACTTTCCACTGCCCAGGGCACTGCTCTCCCAGAGAAGCTATGGAGGGCCAGCAAAGCAGCTTTGCCAGCACATATCTGAATGAACTGTGCTACGACTGTCTAAAATCACAGCCATTTTTATCTTCGCCTGTAAAGTCAGACACTTGGCATGCCCATGACTGCCTTTTGACAGCAGTTAGGTTTTCGGGTCACAGCTTACCCCATCCAACACAAACAGAGCTCTTTTCCATTTGCCTCCACCTTCTTTCCAACATTAAGCTCCACTGCAACTGGAGCAACCATACACCCGAAATACCAATGAAGCTCACCTGCTGTCTCACTCTGCCTTCAGGTTTTTTCATCATACATTTCCAGACCTCTCTGTGTTTGGAAGCAACAACTTGCTTGAGACAGAGCAACGGACAAATACTTCACGTTCCATTCATGTCCAGACCAGAACAATACAAATATGCTATTATAAGATTCCCTGCCACCTGCGGTGGTTTGTTTTCTTTCCCATATTCTCAAGGACTATTTAAATCTGAATCTCTTCTGTATTGCAGCTGAAGTGATCTGGTTTATTTTCCCCCAGCTGCAATACTACCAATGTGGATTCAAAAGGCCAAATTTTCCAAGGCAGTTCAGCATGCTAATTACAATCAAATCACTGGCACTTTGATCAGCCATTCCTTTTACAGTTCTTCCAGCCAGGTGTTTGGTGGAACCAATATGCCAGATAAGCAATTAAAATTATTGCAAGATAGAAGGCAACTCTGTTTGTTTTAAATTAATAGCATTTAAAAACAAAAGAAGAAATCTATCAAACAAGGTTATCGTTGTATTTAATGCACATGTTGCTTTTAACAGCATTTTGCCAGCTTAAACAGCATAGAGCTTACAACGCTTAATTAGTGAAGAAGTTACAGTGCTTATAAAGTTGTATCTAAAATATACCTTATTTATTCTCTATTGAACATTTTAAAGACGGTCTATAATTACATGCTATACAGTAGTAGCATGTTCACACCACTACAGTTAAGGCCGTGTCTGCATTCTCATCTTGGACCTTTTTCAGGGTTTGAACACATCAGCCATAAAGTTACAATGCAGTTTGAAAAAAAAAAATAAAATACACATCCAAGATCTCAAATCTTGTAGCAACTTCAGTCAAGTAACAATAAAAAACAAAACACATGTAATAAAGGACTCCACCCAAAGAGATTTTGGATGACTGCTGCCTTCGCAAGACATGCTCAAAATTTCCAAAATGAAATTTAAAAGGTAGCTGACAGCACAGTCTGATCGTAGATAATCTGAGTGCAAAGTGCTGTAAAGTGGGTGCCATAAATGCACAATAATCACTTCTCACATACTGCACGCATTTTAACATACACAAGGCTGCTGCGTAAATATTTAGACTGGCAGTAAAAGCAGCTCTATCATCAAGTGACTAACACAAACAACTCCTCTCCAGCTGTACGCACTTACTGATCAGGATGAAAAGAATTGTTCACCAAGTCAGCACACTGACTGAGGTACCATGTTTTTCTCCAGTTCGGATAAGAACCAACATCTGCATTATTATGCCACTTGTACCTTGATAATCCAAGAGGACTCACCATGCTGCCTACCAAGCTGAAACCATTTGTTTAAGTGAAGAAGGCAGATCAGGCCAAATACTGCACAGAAAGGACAAGTTTTTATTCTTAGTGGTATACCAGAGCCTGCCTAAGGAAACTCCCTTCATGCTCAAAAGGCTTCTTTGTGTTATTCATTAAATGATTTTTATTATCACACTGTCTGATTAAAAGCAAATCTCTAGTCAGGAACCTGCTGCAACATGTTTTATGACAGTTTAAAATCAAGGGCATCTACAAGTGCTTCCTTGAGCTGTTACCAAATGTAAGAGTGCTTTTTGGTGCAGAATTGTCATGGAACCTTAATAAGCTAATGGAAGAGTGAAGCTGCAGAATCAAGCTCCAAGAGCCAAGTTGATTACTGTTTTCACACTCTTCCAATCAATAAATTTTCCTTCTCATGGCCAATGTTTTTGGAAGCACTCCAATGCATGCTTTTCAGGCTTAGAGTAAGTGTGTAAGACTGAAAAAGAGTCTCCTATTTCAAGCTTTGTGTACAATGCATATACACATTAATAAAAACTTGTCTAAACATCTATTTGTTCTTTGGACCAACTCCAGTCTCCTTAGGTGACTAACATTTCTTATAAACCTTTCATAGAAGATTTTAAAAATATACTTCAAGACAACCAACACATTAAAACATTAACACAGAAATAGGAGGAAAACAAAGCAGACTTTTCACACCAAATTCACTACTGGCATAGGCTGGCAGAATCCTTTTTCAGTCTCCTTTCTGCCTTCTTGCACTGTTGCTTTCATCTCAGGATCTTAAAAGGGAGCTGCAAAGCCAACATGAAGAAATTCCATATATGCCCAAGACCATGGATCACACTGAAGTCCTTCTCAAGAAGAGAACAGATTTAGCACGTGGCCTGTTTCAGCTTTGTCCTGTCAGACTTTCTGTGCACAGGCACCTGTAAAATAAGGACAACAGTACCTCTGTACTTCACAATGTTGCTATGAGAACAAATGTATTTGAGTGCCTGGACCACTATTACAGCAGTAAGGGCTACTTCAGTACCTAAAACACAGCCTTTGTCTTCCCTGCAAACAGAATGGGGAAAAGACAAGAACTAACAGAAATAGCATTGGTAATGGATGCCTTTCTGACACTATATGGTAGTGGCTGATTTAGTTCAGCAGAATGGTTTCATAATAAAAAAAACCCTAACATGTCCCAACCCCCTGCCATGGGTTGGTTGCTCCCCAGCTCAAGCTGCCAGGCCCTATCCAACACAGACTTGAACTCCTTTAGAGACAGAGCATCCACATCTTCTCTGGGCAGCCTGTTCCTGCACCTCAACACCCTATAGAGTAAAAACGAACTGTTACTCAACACAAAAAATACTTTCAGAGAGTATGTCCACATCTGATGATGGTCCAACACAAATCCATATCCAAGCATGTATATCGTTTCCAGGCCCAGTCTCCATTTCTGTGCTCTGGATATATGACGCTGGACACAGAACACAAACAAAATGATACATCAATAACCCACACAACTCATACTAAGCCTCCTCATCTGTGATGTGAATGACAGTGTGTTAACAGGCAGAAATCAGTTACTTATTGCATCAAGGCCCACTTGCAAACCATGAATTTCTTAAATGCATTTCTAACTATCATCATGTAAAGAGAAGATCTTCATTCCTAAGTCTGAATCCCACATTTTTCACTGAGCTATTAAGAACAAATTCCTAAAAACCTTCAACATAAAGTGAAGCAGAAGTTGCAGCTACATAGACATAGTGCAAAGGTTCAGTTTGGCACTGCAACATTATGGACAGACAAGAAGTTATGGTAAACTCAGTTTAGATTTGGAAAAAAGAATCCTATAATTGAACCAACATTATCAAATGTATTGCATACTATTGTAACTTCACAGTAATCAAAAATCAGACATTAAAGTTTCTATAGAAGCAGCAATCACAGATTGCAGTAAAATATACCACTGAAGAGAAAAAAAAATTGCATTTTGGCAATTTCGTAGTCAAGTGTTCCTTATGCTCCTCCAACAGTCATTTGTCAGATATTTTCCTGTTTTAAAGGTGCATGCTGTTCCTCTTCAGTCCTCGTGAGACTTCTCTGCAATGACTTTGCATTCATACTGAAACACAGAAATTGGCAAAACAATAATTATGTACATACCTAGTAAAAAAAAGGGGAACTTTCTACAATAATAATTTTGAAATAGCTCAGCTTACTACCTTACCCACTTAAGCTTGGTCTCCCTAAGTTCTGTGCAAACAATGCTGGCTGTTATTTCTGTCCCTGTGAGCAGCAGAAATAGTACAGACTTAAGAGCGGCTTGACTTCTCCCCTAAAAGCTGGTGCTCTCATTTAGCTTCTGAAATAAAGCATGCACACCAGCATACAGAGCAAAGTGATGAGCTATGTTCCTATCTGAAGCACTGATGGTTCACTAACCAAATCAAAAAGCAACAATTACCAGTTTCTACCTCATCCCACATCCCCAGTTCAAATAACTGATTGGTACATTACATACAAAGGAAGCAGTGACACGTAGATTAGCAGCATCACTAGAAGGCAGTCAGTCCTTCCTCCACACTTACCATTGCCAGCTGCCTGCCAATATTGCCCATTGTTATTCCACCAGCAAAAAATATACATGGCAACCAGGAACGAACGTAAAGGAAATCTGGAGATGTGTATCTGGAAAAGAACAGCTTTTTAGCTCAAACTTGTGTCACACATAAAGGAGAGTTTTTCAATCACAGGAAACGAATCTACAGACTTAAGTTATGGACACTCAACTCAAAATGCCACTATTATAGAAACTTAATTGCTTAAAGTAATTAACATTGTTGATAAAAGAAGCAATTTCACTGAAGTAAGCAACTCCCAACTGAAGATCTTAATACCGAGCTTTCACAAATTTATTTTACTCCCCAAATTAACTTCTGACTATTTTACAATTCATATCAAATTCAGCCCCTTCAGTTATTCTGATTTTATAATACGGCTTCTTAGTTAGCCTCAAAGAAATAAATACTTACTGATAAACTCCATTGTAGACCAGAAGCTGTGACACCAACGTGGCCAGGAAAGCAATTCCTACTCCAAGACCAAAGCCACTTCGTGATCTATCAAATGTCCACCACAGCCCAACTGACAGGGCTGCTAAGGTGAGAGACAACTGGATATTGTTGGCAAAATCCACTTTCTGTGTTAATTGTTAAGGAAAAGTTTGGAAATAACAAATGCAAATGTAAAGTACTTTGTTCTGTTCATCATACTTTAACGTAATAGTTTTTCCCACCATAAAAAATACAGCACTAGCTTTATCTGTTATCACACACCTATAATGTAGAAGGAAATAAGCCTTGTAAACATTGCCACCATATCAGGAAAGTAACAAGTCAAGACACTTCTTCATGTTTTTAGGGTCATAGTGCTGTAAAAGAGCCAAGACTATATACCTACCAAATAACACTACTGCTTTAAATGCACAAAAAAACGCACATTACTACGCATCACTATTCAGAATAAGGACTTTCCACTCTTATCTGGTTCTTTATTACACTACGCATGAAATCTTAACTCTGCCATTAGACTCCTTTAAATGGCAGAGATTTACTGAAGGGAAAAAAAAAAAAAAAAGAAAAAGATATTTGTCACTCTTTTTTCTACTGCGTTTAAAAGACATGGTTGTTTGCATTCAGCAAAATGTTAAGTGCTTTCTTAAAAATGAAATGTAAATAGATAATATTACTCTGAAAGTACTCAATGGTGAAAATCAGTTTTTATGAAACCTACAATAATGACTCAGGCTATTTGTACATTCTTCAAAACGTTTTGGAAATACCAACTAATTCTCACTATTTGTTTCCAAAAGAGATTATTGAAAAGGCAGCTGTTGAGTTTCAAAAGCCTGAAAGCAAATCTGTGGGATGAAAACATGAAAATCACTGTCCTACTTTCTCACAAAGGCCTGGAGAGAGCTACAGGAAATTAGAAAGAAGTTCAACTAATAAGTAGAATTAATTAATTACGGGATAAAAATCAATAGCATCAGAAAAAATGTCAAATGAACAAAAACCACACCAAATATGGTAATGTAGAGAGCTAGCAATAAACCAAAAAGACAGCTTTCTGGGAGAGCTATCAAGGAGGAAACACAGTACATTAATGTTATTCTGGAATATGTGCAACAGCTGTTAGAAAACTGCAAGGTTTGCTGCAAATAACCTGAGCCACACGAAAAAACACTGTCAGTTCTCTTGCATTTCTTCAAGGCAACAAAGTTCTATTTGCTCACAGAGCAGGTACAGTTGATGAGAACTATAGGACTACATTACCAAATCTTTGACAGAAAGAAAACAAACAAGGTTTGTAAGAGACACCACAAATGACTCAACCTTGACAGCTCCAGCTTGTCTGGCCATGCAGGATTGCTTTTGCTCCCACAAGCCAACCTAGCAACAACAACAAAAATATCCAAAGGCCACCTCAGTAAAAGCTCTGTCAGCTCTCACATCATTCACCAACCTGTGCCTTTTTCCTGGAAATTCAGTAGCACACAATCAGAAGCCTCTTAGCACTCCTGCCACACATTTCTGCTGTGTTGGAGCTGGCAGTGAAAGGAATGAGTTCCAAGGAACGTAAATGTTCTTTCAAATCAGTTTATACCACAGGAAAGGTAACTATCAGCATCTAGGTCACATTTGTGGAATGAGGTAACTTGAAAAACACAGTGTGCAGCCCTGGTGTCACCCAATTCTAACTCTTCCCACTCTTTACAAAGTGCATGTGTTTCACTGGTAACCTCAAGACTGGGCTTCAACTTTTAACTACAGTGTTAAAAACAAACAAACAAACAAAAAAAAAACAAAAAAAACCCCAAACCTTAAAATTAAAGCATTTTTCTGTAACATGTATCACACATTTCCCTGCACTTAATTTTTCAGAGAAAAGAAAGACTAAAAGACAAAGCCCAGTGTTGAGAAATACTAACAGAAAGATTTTTCTGAACCCAAACAGATGAGACTTACCATCTCCAATAGCCCTATGACAGTTTAACACTAAGACATACTCAGCATTTCCTTTGCAAACACACTGCACATTACATTTCTAACAACTCATGATGAGTGATGATGTAAACTTTTGCTTTACTGGAGGCCTATTTTTTATCATCAGTTTCATTGGCATACAGGATACAGCGCTGGCATGATTTATTCCCACAAAGACTGCTACACACCGCATTACACTGGACCATTCTCTCTTAAATTTATGTGGCTCCCCCAGATGTCTGTCCATGCATGGGTACAATAACCCAATCACAGCTGTGGAAACACAAAAGAAGAAAGGCCAAAAAATTAAAGCACTGGCAATACTGAACTAAAACAAAGAGTAGCTTGATTTTGAATTACTGTAACCAAACAAACCTTTTAAGCACACAATACAAAACACACATGGCAAAAAAATCACCGAGAAACGGTAATTTAAACAGTGCCATGGTTTTAACAAGCCCTGTAGAACTGTTCAGCAGCATCTTCAGACACGGCAGCAGGAGACTGTAAGACTGAGCCAACTGGAGAGGACTGAAGAGCTCTGCTCCCTATCAGAATCCATGCTCTCTCAATGGAATTCAAAAAGAGCAGCAATAGCTTGCAGGCTAACACTTTCGAAAACCCCCATATCAAATGTACAGGTTAAAGTAACTGCAAAGCAAACACACCACAGTAAGAGGGGAATGTGGTCTATAATGTCAATATTTTGTGTCTTTTTGTTTTTGTTTTTACAAGTGGTTTTTGGGTAATGTTTTGCTTTTCTTCAATGCTCCTATGAAGACTCAAGTAAGAGAGAAAGCCATTATCCTACAGTAGCTGTTGAATACAGACAGCACACAGGACATCCAAGCCCAGGGAACTGCTCTTTGAACATTTACTCCTGAATTTATTCTGTACTGCAGTTGCAGCTAAAAAGACCAACACAGCTGAGAACTAACACCGTTGCTTCATGTCAAACTGGTGCTGCGGGAGGGAGGCAGAGACTGAGGAATTGGTATGGATTGTAATACCCTACATTTGGCATGCTTTTACAAGTGTATTATGGCAAATGCTCTTTATTTTGCCAGAGAGAAACCTGATCTCCAGCATTCAGGAAAGTAAACCATGAGTAAAGCCAGAGAGGAAAACAAATCCTTTATAAGCAATTTTCTTGCCAAAGATATCAGGCCAAACTGATGACTAGTAACAGGGAAGAATGAAAAACTATCTCTGAAAGCAGTCTCCATTGTCAGTGACCGTAAATATGCAAAGTATCTTTATTTTGTTCATAAAAATAAGCCACGCTGCAAGGGAACGTTCGTGTCAGTTTCAGGAAGGCTGTACAAGTCAAAATGGTAACAAAGCACATGAATTATCAGCATTTATCATAGAGATTGCCTACATGTACACTAGCAGAGGGGATGAGGAAAGAAAATGGGGGAAAAAAAAGTCTGATAATGAAAGAAACAAATCAAAGTTTATCAGGAGTCACTTCAGCTGGGAAAAAAAAAAATCAATTAAGTTCCATCTTTAAATCAGGTGGTTTAAAAGCAACTAGTGCAAATACCAAGCAGGTGACTGCATTTTACAAACAATATCCAGTCTTGCCATCAAAACCACCAACACATGAGAAGCCTTTTGAATTGCCCACCCATCAAACATCAGTACTTTACCAGACATGTTTGTCTGGACTTATGGATTCAGAGGGCTATTTGGAGGATTTCCTTTCAAATCAATTTCCTCTATGCTATCTGGGCTGTAATGTTTCAACAAGCTATCAAAAGGAGAACAATTAGATGAGTCGAAAAATAATAAACTTGCACATTTTAACTAAAATCTAATAAAACTGTACTCTAACCTAGCAGAAAAATAAAGGTTTATGCTCTGCTAATGATATTACAGTGTAGCAAGTTAATAGAGCAAGAATTTTATGACACATATGTATGCCTATCTGTGAATATTCAAGGTGGCTGGGATAGCAATGGAAATGTTGCTGGAAGACACATTTTTAACTACCACATCTTTCACCTGGAGGTCTTTCCTAACCGTAACTCCTTATGCAACCTTTCATCCCCATGCCAGGCATACGTACACAACTGAACTTACCTGATGCTGTGCCACAGCAAGGTGGAACCCACCAAGCTGAGGAGAAGATGCTTGTGATCACATCAGGGGGGAAGAGAGTAACATTCCGCTGGATCTGAAGCAAGTTTAACACTAATGCAAGAAATACGCCAATAAAAAACAGCACTATACCACGAATTACCAAATTCATCCCATGACTGGTTACAGATGAAATGTATGGACCACTCTTTTTGGGTAATGTTGGCTTGGCGTCATTTTCCGCCATGACTTCTTATGCTCTCAGACACATCCAACAGGCTCACTGAGGAGGATTCACTTGTCGTTGGGATTTCAATTAGGAGATACCCAAACCCTGAAAAATAATAAAACACGGGTGAAAAATACAGATAGAAGGAGTATATATATATATATATATATATATATATATATATTTATATACACACATATATATATATTTCTCCTAAACAAATTCAGATACTTTACTGAATTTTCTGAAGAAGGCAATTAGTTTTTTGAGAGCAGAAAAAACACCTTATGAAGAAAACAAGTTTTTACAAACATCTGTCCACTAAGAAACAGTGTGGGATGGGATAAGCAAAACCACAGTGATAAGAGAAACAAAATTGATACCAGATGGGAGATAGGCTTGCCTCACAGCAACAATAAATTTTGTTTTGCTTCTCTCCTTTACACAACAACTGGAGATTATGTAATCCAGAAGCACATAACACAACCCTCAGCTTTGATACAGCCACAGGGGTTCTCGGATCTCTATTCTTGAAGAGAAGCCAGAAAACTCTCTTACATTGGAATGTAAGATCTGAGACATATTTTTCAGGATGGAGTCAAAATTTCAGCAATCCTGCAGTGCTTCAATTTGTGAAACTCCAGACACAGAGCAAGAAACTTGGCTCACTGGAGAAGTAACCTCAGACTAAACCAAAACAACACGTTTTCTAAAAAGTATTGTACATGATTACATACCCGAATTGTAAACAGGCACAAAAGAATCCGAGAGCAAAGGGAAGAAGGAGCTCCACCTGCCCATGCCTAGGATAGCTTTCTATATGAGCAACTGCAAGGCAACATGTGAGCGGCAGAGCTCCCATCCCAACCCCTCTTTAAAAAAAAAAAAAAAATGCTGTCAATCAAGAGTCTTGTTATACACGGATTCAGTGCCACACTCATGTATAACAACAATTCTGATAGACAGCTTAGCCACCTGGAACCTAAAAAAAAAAAAAAAAAGCCCTGACAATGTTTTTAAATCTGGAGCTGCCAACTGGTGGCGGCTCCTGTTAACTCTTACTTATGGCCATGTGGACGGCAGAGGAGTGGAAAACAGGAGCTGCAGCCTTCCCTTCCGTGCCAGCTGACCCATAAGGATAATGCAGAGGCTGCCCTGCACTTTTGCTGACCTGATGCCAAAAGGCAAGGGAAATACATCTGGGCTGGTTAAGATAGAAAGCTCCAACAAAGATTTGAGGCCATGCTGCAGCATCCTCCAGCACTATTCCTTCCAAGAAGCAAAGCAAAAGAGAAAAAGTGTTCAAATCACATGCAACTTCCCAGTGACGGTCTGGGGAGGCAGCAGTCCTCTCAAAAAACACAAGATCTCTTCTGCCTGGCTGCTTCTGAATGGTATTGTAGTCACAAACACGTCCTGGTGAGGCAGAGGGGGAAGAGGACAACCAGGGTGCCTGGTTCTGAGTCAGCAGCCTGACTCATGCCAAGCATTGAGATGTCTGCAGCAGGACTGGCAACTGCAGCATGCTTCCTTCCAGCAAAAAGGAGGTGCTCTAGGTTTTGCTTTCCCCTTCTCCGGATGGCATGGCGGCAGAGCAGAGATAATACATTTAGCCTCCAGGAAAGAAAGCAGGGAATGGCAAACAAATCACACCTTCAGCTGAGAACTTACCCCACCTCAGGGACTTTGCCCACAATTGATGGCAGGAATATACAAAACATTCAGGGGAAGTCTTATAAACACATAATATCAAAGACATCCTTATCTTGATTCTTTCTAGGAAAACACGCTAAACTGACTCTCCACTTTCTTCATTATCCCAACAGCTCTTGGCACTTCCTAAGTCTGAATATTCCTTTGTCTATACTGTATGAACAGAGTTGATATATACAATTCCAAATGTGGATCTCTTGGCCTTGTACAAGGAAGTTCCCACTTTTGTGTCTGCTTAAACAAGTTCTGCTGCAGCACACAGACCACCTTTGTTTTTTTTCACTCCTATTAAGTAGAAGCTCACATCCTGTGATCCATCACTACTCCCAATTCTTTCTGTTCTCCTGTTGGCAGCCTCCTGTTTGTTAGTACCAGGCCCCAAACCTTGCACATTAAATTTTATCCCACACACATTACTCTGACACTCAACGTCATTCCATTTTTCCTGCAGGATATCCGTCCTCTTTGACCCTGCAAACATTTCCCAACTTCAAGTCATAGCAAATACCAATACTGTGGCCCTACTTTGCACAAAGTCATCAACCAAAGCATTAAGCAAGACCCACTCAACTCCTAATCTTTGAGGAAATCTATTTATAATTTCCCTGCAGCTATTATTTCCCAATTTTATAACCATCTCTTGATATCCCCCTCTAACAAGACTCTGCTTCTTGTAATTCTTTGAGTACAATAGTCTCCAACTTAATTAAGAATCATCAGCTGTCCCATGTGGCAGTGCATAAAATGCTTTACTTATGCAAAAATTGATCAGATCTTACTTTTTTTCTCCCCCTATGTCAGAGGATGGATTGCTGCCTTTTGTACAGCCCCTGCAGCAGGAAGCCATTCGATGCACTGTAGACTCCAGTGAGACTTTTACTGTGAGGCAAACAACTCTATCAGCTCAAGAACATTTGTGGTGGGCAAACGCCAATGAATGCATTTGGAACAAGTAATGCCAAATCTCCAATTAGTATGACGTGGTGACTTCTGCCCTGGTTTCTCATCCTACACATGTTGCTTTCATTTACTTTATTACAGATTCCAAATTTTCTCTGCTGACTGGCTTCTGGCATGCCACAAACAGAGAAACCGAGGAGAAGAGAAAAGCAGCTGATGAACAAATCCATTGTCAGGGTTCTTCTCAGCCTCTGACAGCTGGATATAAGATTCTCAGGCAGAGCACACACTTGCACATCAAAATATTTACTGCTGCTTCCTTTAATGTTGATGGAAATTAAGATTTCTAAAGACATCAACTCCTTCTTCTGGGCTGGGAGCCAGTGCACCTCCTTTCAAGCCCTGTGTTTTGCACAGGGTTTCCATTCAGATCGAATACTCCATCTATGATTCCAACATTACTTCTGAGCCCTTGTCTCTTGAGAACCAATATTCAAAGTTACAGAAGCATGCAGGAAGCTACAGGCTGGCATGTGCACAAAGTCTCTGCTTCACTCTCTCTGGGGGCACGCGGCCCCAGCCCAAGCTTTTTAGCATACCAAACACAGCAGCTGAGAGAGCCAGGTATGGTCTGCAGGGCAACTGCACAACATCCTGTCTTACAGAGTTAATAAGAAAATCACCCTTGACTTTTTAAAACAGTCACTTAACTAGTTTATAACAAGAAGATCTGCGCTGCAAATAGTCCCCAGTGCTCTGCATGCTCACCCAGAGCTTTCTGTCGGCTCACAACAAAGCTTCTCGCCGCTAAGATGCACTACAAACAGCTCAGCACAGCAGGAGCCAAGGAAGAAGGGACGTATAGCAGCAGGTAGCAAAACAACGGGACACCACCACCGCCGCCGCCTGTGCCCTAGGAGAGGCAGGGAGCCAGGCAGCACCAACCCTACTGCTCAGGGCACGGGGCTGGGCAGCCCACCGCCCGGACACCACGGACAGCGCTGACACCTCGAGGCACGTCACGAGGCCCAGCCCGCAGGCAGCAGGCCTGACTGGGGGCTCGGCTCTTCCCAGGGCGGCCTCTCCCTGCGGCAGCTCCAACCCGGGCAGCTCCAACCCGAGCCCCTCCGCGCGCCGCGCCCTCCCTCAGCGGCCGCCCTCGCCAAGCCCCGCGCGCCTCAGCCTCAGCTGTGAGCCGGCCCGGCCGCCCCCCTTGACGCGGGCACCGCCGCGGCAGACCCGGGACTCACTCGGCCTCCGCCATCTTCTCCTCCTGCGCCAGTCCCCGCCCCGCGCAGCCTCCGCAGCCTCCCGCCGGCGGGGGCGGGCCGGGCCGGGCGCTCCGAATGCCGGCCCGCGGGGCGGAGGACCCTGAGGCGCCGGGTAGCGCGGTGCTCGCGTTCCCTGCAGCCTCTCGCTGTCAGTCTTGCGCTGCAGCCGGTTCCACGCAGTCGCACAGCAGCCGCTCTGCTGCCGTATCAGGGCAAAATGCGCAGAACGCGGAAAGCAGCCCGCGTCCTCCGAGCGTTTCGCTTCTCCTTAGCAAAAACGTGAAGTGTAAAATTAGATTTTACACGTGCTGGTAGAAAGCAAAGTGCGTGCAGAGTAAGGGGAGAAGTAAATAACCCAAAATTCAGTGGTGGTTAAACTGCACAACGCTGCTGCGTCTGTGGGAATGGGTTGCCAAAACGAGCGGAGGGACGCGGGCCTTGAGTTTTCTGTGACGTGGGCACGGGGCAAACTGCAGGAGAGGAACGTGAAAGATGAAATACGGCCAACACTGCTCCCCAGCCCAGCTGCCTGGAGCACCTGACTGCGGAGTTGCACATGTGCTTAACTTTATTGATTAAGCCAAAGAGAGACACAGCTCATTACTTCAGAAACCACATTTTCATCACCAATTTGTGGTCTCTCTGCAGGAAGGCGCAAGGCGAAGCAGGCAACAATCTGCTTTAACCTTTCTTTAGACAAGGTATAACAACAAAAAACCATCATTTGTTGTATATGTGGAGACATATAGGAGTATAATGCTGCTGTTTTCATTATTAAATTTATTTCTGTATTGTGTTTATTATTATTCCCTCTGAACTTTTTCTGTTTTCATTCCTCTGATACCTAGTACAATATACTTGAAAATGTTTGCCTTCGTGTTTCACTGCAAACACTTTGGTGAGCTCTCCATACTCCCAGGCTCATTCACAGCAGTGCAGTGCAGTGCAGTTCCCATTTCCAACCCTGAGTTAATGCTTGGATAGGATGAAATTTGTTACTGTGTTTACTACAGCATTATCTGTAGTGATAACTGTAGTTTGTCAGTGCTGATATGTTCTGAGAAACACTGTACCAAAACACAGATGAAGAAGAGCATAAGGATCTGTAATAGACATAACAAAAATGGGAAAGGAAGAGATTTACAGCAGCAGAAACCCATTGTGGTTTAGAAGAGCAATGAATGAACTTTCAGATGGTTCAACTTTGGTTTTCTTCGCACAGAAACAAAATCTTGTTTTTCTCAGTAACTCCTACTGAGCTACTTGTCTGAGGCAGAGCAAAGGAGACCAGAACTACGGGTCCATGTGAGAAAGCCTGACAGCAGAAAGTTGGTGGACATGAAGTGTGAGCATTAGAGAGGAAAAGTGTGGCATATGTGGATGGTGAGTACAAATGATGGCTTTTTTTCCCTTCTCTTGACATATGTATAGCCATATGATGATTTGTCTGTCAATACGATCAGGTTAGCTATAGTAAGGCCTATTAAATTACTGCTCTTATAGAAAGTAAGCTCATGTAAGAAAGTAAGATCATGTAAGAAATATTAACTATATTAGCAGAAAAGTATTAAATGTGGAAAAAAAAACAAAAACAAAAACAGCAATTGTGTAAAACACTGCCACTCTGAGAAATTTATCAACATTGCCACTATAAGCTAAAAATTAGCTAAAGGCTTTTTACCCATCTGGTAATGCTAGAGGGTACAGTGTTTGCACAGAAATGAGAGGAACGTGAGGGAAAAGTAAAGGAAAGTGTCTGACTAGGAAATTAACAAAATAGATACATCAGCAGATAGTTTTGCAAACAAGGTAGGCTTATGACTTGCAGAGAAGTGTCATTTGCTCCGCCTTCGACTGGAATTGGTATGGAATATCACGGGAAAAGCATTTTTTCTGGAAACAGCACAAGGCTATTTCATTGTGCTGGCTGCAGAGCACAACAATATAGAATATTCTGGATTTAGTTTGGGGAAATACGTATTTTGTGGATATGATAAATCTGGCAATGAAAATCACTGCAAAGTTCATACAAAGCAGAGGAGCCTAGAGCAGCCACACATTTGTAGAAAATTGGAATTGCTCTCGTATCTTTAGGAGCCACTTCTATAAACTTTTGTTTTGTCAGGGCTCTTGTGGACTGGTTGCATGAGTCAACACAAGACTGCCTACCTGAGAGTGTGGGACAGTAAATGAAAGGGGATTGCTGGGAAACAGAGAACAGGTAGAGCTCTACAAGCACACATCCTGCGTATCTCTGACATACGTTAGACAAGACACTTCAAGAAGCCTGGGTATGAGCTGTGCAGGATGACTGACAACTGCAGTGTCATAACATCAAAACCTGTCCTTTCCTTATTCTGAGTTCCAGGCAACGGCACTGATTATTGCTGTTACTTGGGCCCTTTAGCTACTATTGCAAAAATAAAGTCATAAATTACAGATTTTCTTATTTATCAAAATGTTCTTCAGAAATACAAATCTCCTTCAGAGCCTCCTTGGAAGCTCTCCATGCATACAGAAGGCTTCTGGAAGGCCTTCAGAAATGAAGAATTATAGAACTGGGCACATTTTTCACCAGCTGAGGCTGCTGTCTTGTCTCTTTTATTATCTCCAAAAGAAGGCGTAGTAGCCATTCTCGTTAGCACACAGCTGGGTCACAGGCACCACTCAATGGCTGACAAGTCCTGCAGCATATGGGAGGCTTGTTATGCACAAAGGGGCAGTGTACTGTGAATGAGTCTGGGGTCTTGGCAAGAGCACACCACACAGAGAACTTCCACAAGATTGATTTTCCAATAGGGTTGGCATTTTAGAGAGGGAAGGAAAAAGGAGGCAGCAGCAATGTGAAACCGTCAGATCGCGTGCATTCTTACATATGAAAAAGGCTTCCTCTTATCTCGGGTTAGCAACAGGATGCACAATTCCAGGGCTGATATCAAAGGCATGTTTTTTGTTTGCTTTATTTATTTAGCCTCTTGCAAAAGATGCTGGGCTGTCAATGCCAGAGGCTAAAGTCCTTTGTTTATCTTCTGAAAGGTGCAGCATGAGTTTTCCTGTATCACTGTGCCAGCGTGGCTCTACCCTGATCTACGTTCCCCACTCATTCAGTACTTGCTAAAATAGATACCTAGGGAGTACGTGCTGCCAACCATGGTCGTGGTTGCTGCGATATGGAGCCCAGCCCAGTTGGAAGTTTACTGAGATAACCTCATTGCATCACATGCCAAAGAGCTTCGCACAGCTGTAGGACTATGGCATTTAAATAAGATATTGAAAATGCAAAGTAACCATCATCACGTTAGAATACATCCAGCCAGGGGATTTAGAAATTAAAGATTTCCTGTCATGTTATTACAGTGCCATACAACATCTAGATTGAGTAGACAGGCTAAACAAAACTGGGACACTGAACTTCATCAGGATGTTGTTTTTGCAGTGAAAAATTCTGGTCGGTAGCAAAGACAGTGCAGAAACTGAAGGTATGCAAGGAATATATATGGATTCCAGCTCTAGGTGTGTGTGCATGTGTCAGAAGTGTGTCACTTGCTGAAAGTGAAAATAAGGTCAGTGCAGATGAATTAGTATATGGGAAAAGGGCAAGAAGGAAATTCATGTCAAATCAAGTTAAAAATATATGGCTGAGTGGGCAAGAAGAACAACATGAGAAATGCAAACAGGAAAAGTGCAATGTCTGAGAATGAAAGCAGGCCTGCACAGAAAATTGAAATATTTTGTGAACTAGATTGAAAGTATTTTTTATGTGTGTGGCACTGAAGGTAAAAGAAAGTGGTTTCTCTACTGATATGTTTAATGTTTGGTTTGGTGGTTTGCAATTTCTCGATGGCTATGAAATTCAGGTCCTTTCCCTTTCTCTTTTCTTTCTCTTTTTCTTATCCCATTTGTGGAATGTCAGATCCACAAGAAAGCAATAGACTCTAGCAATGGCATTTGGAAAACTCCAAGTATCACATGACTTGTGATACTTGTCATTAGCAAACAGTGGCAATGGTGATTGCACCAGATAATACTGAACTTATTTCAATTTACATTTGGTTTATAGGGATACAGACCTTATATTTATGCCTACAAAAAGGTGACAGCAACTAATTTTAACTATTTTCAAGATGGGGCAATAGCACACACCCCTATTTTGCTATTTACTGTATGAATACATTGTGAGAACTACTGTACTCCTGTGCACTTTACAAACTAGAGAGAACAGCAAGTTCCTCTGCAGCTGATAGAAAAATTGAGTGACTCCTCCTGCTCATTTGATGTGTCTATTTTAAGTTTAAAAAAATTATCTTCTGGAGAAAGCTGCTTCTTTCCATCACCTGTTGCAGAGAGAAAAGATGCCAAACCTTGTTTAGACATGTAAAGTTTAGACCTCAGAATAAGGAGATAATGATGTTATCCTGTGTAATTTGTTTAACAGCACAGGTTATCTGGGTCAGCACTGAGGAATGTTCATGTTACAACCAGCCTCGGATTGCTGTATGATTGCTGTATGGGGCAGCAGTTACTGCTGGCACTGACACTGCTCTGAAGGACACATTTGGAGCAGTTTGGAAAGTGTCTGTTCCTCTTAGCCAACAGATATCTGTAGGTCTACAGTGACAATTCAAATACCAAAAGTTTTTGTTTCCAACAAATATTGCTGTTTGTGGCAATTTGACTTCCTCTGAAATTTGACCTTTCCCTCAGACAGCACAGAGTGCAAAATGCAAAAATAAGCAAGCCAAGAGCTTGCTCTGAAACACCATTTTCCAACCAGCACTAGCAATACTAGCTGGGGGATGAAAGGACAGAGCACAGCCCTGCAGAAAAGGACCTGGGGGTACTGGTGAATGGCAGATGGACATCAGCCAGCAATGTATCCTGGACTCCATCAGAAGGGTGGCCAGCAGGGACAGGGAGGTGGTTGTCCCTCTTTACCCTGCTTTTATGAGGCCCCATCTGGAGCACTTTGTCCAGGTCCGGAGCCCGCAGTACAAGAAAGGCAGGGAGCTGTTGGAGAGGGTCCAGAGAAGAGCCACAAAGATGATCAGGGGGCTGGAGCACCTCCCCTATGAGGACAGGCTGAGGGAGCTGATCTTGTTCAGTCTGGAGAAAAAGAAGGCTGCAGGGTGACCTGATTGCAGCCTTTCAGTACCTAAAGGGAGCCTACAAACAGAAGGGCAATCAACTCTTTGAAAGGGTGGATAACAGCAGGACAAGGGGAAATGGTTTTAGATTAAGGGAGGGGAGATTTGGTTGGATGTTAGGGGGAAGTTTTTCACTATGAAAATGGTGAGGTGCTGGGACAGGCTGCCCAGAGAGGTTGTGGATGCCCCATCCCTAGAGGTGTTCAAGGCCATATTGGATGGGGCCCTGGGCAGCCTGGTCTGGTACTGACTGGGGAGGTTGGTGGCCCTGCATATGGCAGGGGGTTGGAGGTCCCTTCCAACCCTGGCCATTCTGTGATTCTGTGAATGTGCCCTCACAGCCCAGAAAGCAGTGTGGCCAGCAGGATGAGGGAGAGGATCCTGCCCCTCTGCTCTGTGCGGTGAGAGCTCACCTGGAGCACTGCGTCCAGAGGTGGAGTCCTCAGTACAGAAGGTACATGGAGCTGTTGGAGCATGTCCAGAGGAGGGCCACAGAAATGATCCCAGGGATGGAACACCTCACCATGAGGACAGGCTGAGAGCTGGGGATGTTCAGGCTGGAGAAGAGAAGGCTACAGGGAGAGTTGAGATTGGCCTTTCAGTATCTAAAAGGGGGCTGTAAGAAGGAAGGGGACAGACTCTAGCAGGATCTGTTGTCATAGGTTAAGGGGAAATGGTCTCAAACTAAAATGGGGAGATTTAGACTGAATATAAGGAAGTTTTTTACAAAATACTGGCACAGGTTGCCCTAAGATGTGATGGATGCCCTGTCCCTGGAAACACCCAAGATAAAGCTGGACAGGACTCTGAGCAAGTGATGGAGCTGTAGGTGTCCCTGTTCATTGCAGGAGAGTTGGACCAGGTGGCCTTTAAGGACCTCTTCCATCTCAAACAATTCCATAATTCTATCAGGCTATCAGAATCCAGCCCAGAGAGGTCTGTGCCATAGGACACCCAGGTCTCACCCCATGCTCATCCTCTTGGCCCCTCCAAGTTACATTACCACTGAAGCATCCAGAAATCCTTGTACTGGCCGCAAACCAGCATAACCAGGCCCTGAAGCAAGGGGCAGGTTGTGCTGCAGGCACACAGCAAGGTGCTGCGCTCAGCTGGGAGCACTTGTAGCACACAACCAGGTCTGGTGTTCGGTAACAGGATTATGTAAGGAACACTGGGATAAATGGAGCTGTAGTTAACAAGCAACTCTGTATAAGTCCCCCTGAAGCTACAAAAAGAGGAGTTTAATAATTGTCTGACTCAGCCCTACGGGTTTTTCTGAGTCACAGTATCACAGAGGCAATACTGGAAAGCCATATACTGGAGAAAGAAAGAAGGCAGAAGAATGTAGTAATGCAAACTAGTATACTTGGAATTTGTATTGTAGAGTTCTCTGGACTTAGAAACTAAGTCCCTTTTCCTCCTTCATTGTTATTTCACCATTTGGCTATAACTTTTGTGGAAAAAAAAAAAAAAAAGAATTCTTTCTTTATTGAGACCCACCAATTAGTGTCAGCAAGAAGTTGCTGAGCTGTCCTGGCTTCCTGGGAATCTGCTTCTGCTCCAACGTGTCCTCTTCTGATGCAAGCTGGGATTATGCTGTGTTGTTCATGGTTTGATGTCGCAACTAGAAGCTGGGGCATGAACCTTCTGAACTTTGATTTGAATGTAATAGCAAATGGAGCTGATAACAGGACTGGCCATGTTCTGTTCTACATCTCAAAGTGGAATGTTTCGTGAGGATGATCCAGTGTTTTAGCTTAAAGGTTTAATGAAAAAGGTTTAAGATAGTTTAATGAGGAAGATTTTTTAATTGGTATTTATTTTTGTAGAAATCTTACACACAAGGCAGATACAGAGCTGGTCCTGTTGAAGTATGTAGGACTTCATATGAATTCAGAAAAATATATGTATCAAGCTACATCACTGATGTGGATCACTGAACTATAATCAGCTTATACCATGTCCTGAGTTTTGTCTTACTGCTTTTTTTCCTAAGCTACACATTTTGGACCTAAATTTCTGCTGCCTTCGTAAATTTACTCCAGTAAGAATCTGGCCTTCACATTACAGAGAGACATAAATAAAATCTCAGTATTGTGTTTGTTTTTGCATTATTCCTTGTGGGTTTTTATTATTCTCTTTTTTATTTTTTTTTCTTTTCTTTTTGCTCCAGTGATTCATTTATGAAAAAAGATGATGAGATTCAGGTTTCTGATGGTGTTTCCATTACCCAGGAATTGAAGTACTCTGAGCAGGCCAGGACTTGCATAAAGATAAA